CTCTTTTCTTTCTCCAATGTAGACAGAGAACACTAGGAAAGTATGTCAAGTTAGCTGTCAAGCTCCTTCAGAACTCTCAAACGACCTTGTCAGGAAAAAAAAAAAACACAACCAAAACCAGCCCTTTGATTCATATTTTAAAATCCTGACTAACCTGCCCCTTCCATTCTTCTGCTTCCTGCCTTCTGCAACTCTGACAGAATTGAGTTCAATATTAATGATTAGCAATCATTTTCAGGCTATACGCTCTCTTGCCTTCTGCCATCCCAATGCCTCGTTAGCTTGGTTCAGTTAGTAAGATGCTCACCTTTCTCTTGGTTTCTCCTGGGTTCAAGATGAATAAAAAGCTGGGCTGGTAGCTAGGCTAAAAATAAATTCTGATCATTCAAGTACCCTCCAAGACACAGCTTGAACCATTCAAGTTGACTTCCCTTGAAAAGGCATGTTATGCAAAGATACCTCGTGTGACTCAAGGGGTTGTTTCAGTGAGTCGTGTGCTATTTTACAAAACAAGGCATTTCTTCTCCTGAGAAGTACATGCAGGTATTTCTCTCTGCATTAAAAGCAGAAAGCAGACAGCTTGATTACACTGCTATTGTTTTTAAAAGCATAATTAAATAATTCAATCTGCTGAATAAAGCTAGCTCTTTGTTTTTTTAGAAAAGAATATAGTTGGTTGGACCCAGCAGACTTCTTTATAAGATGCAAATGAAGTACAAGCCTAGAAGCAGAACTCTGCTCATTTTCAAAACCTCTGACTACTGCTGGTTTTTAAATCTGCACAGCACACTGAATCCTCCAGCTGCCTTTGCAAGATCACTTCTGGCAGGTGCTGGTCACCTCAGTTACTTCTATACCCTGCCCTTCCAGCTCTTTCATCGTGATTCCATAGTCTGGCTTCCATAGAAAGCCTTCACAATTAGAATACTGAAACATGATTTTAGATTTAGAATTGAGAAATAGATTTTAAACATTAAAAACTTGTAAATCTGCCCCAAAGAGTGGGTATTCACACAAGTTAGCCTTGGTTTAGTGATACTAGACTCAGATTTCCCATATAACCCAGAGAGAGGAGCAGTTGTCTGCTTTCACTCACCCACTGGAGAAGTTTTTCTCTGCAATCACTGTTGGAAGAACCTTGGCTTTGTGAGGTTAAAAATCTGACTTTGGGATATCTCTGAAAATAACAATTGTGTGGTAAGAACACAGAGCTGCTACTGAGTTCACAGGAGCAAGCTAGGGGTCCTCACCACAGGGTCTGCACAGGCTCTCTGGATAGAACAACCCTAAAGAATACAAAACAAAAGTTTTTCTATCTCCAAAATCATACAAGAGTATAAGGGGCATTTAATCACACCAAAGTCAAAAGGAACAACACGGAAAAAATGTCAGGGCAGGGAAGGGGGAGAAGTAAAGACTAAAGACAGATTAAACAATTTTCTTGTAGCTTGTACCACATAAAAGGTCTAGAACAAATTCTTCTGACTATTCTTTTTTCTCTGTGTGGAAAACAACAAAAATTAAACCTGTGTTGGAAAACACTTGGAAAGGAGAAAGCAAACACTCCTTCCTTTGTCTCAGAACTTCCTATTAAAATGGTACTCTCCTTATATACATGTACATATAGTATATGCACATTCACACACAGATATATGTCTATATGTAAATACGAACTAAGGATTAGTCTTGCCAGCATCTGATTCATAAGGACCAAAGCAGCAACCCAGTGTGATTTCTCTTCATTTTTTGGGTGACAACAACATGTACATCAGTTGCTAAAGACTCACATGCTTCATGTATAAGTAACTAAACCAAGCAACAGTTTTCAAAGGTAATTTTTTGGGGTAAGGTATCTCTTTAGAAAGGTATGAGTGGCTATTTTAACATTCTAGTCAGGGTGAATTTTACCACGGGCAAGAGTAGTGACCTCTTTGTCAAAAAGAAAGACCTACTGGCCAAATAAAATCTATTTGTAAGATTTAAATGAGACAAAAGCAGTGCAGGGATCTCTGTGCAAGGCAGAGGTATCATGCTTAGACTGCACTGCCTAGTCTGCATTCTACTTTTTGACAACAGACTATCCATAGTCTTGGAGAAATATTACAGTAAAAGAAAAATGATCCTTTTCTTTGTAAAGAGACAGGAATCTTTAACCGATGTACAACTGTTTGTATCGCTTCAAGGTATCCGTGTGTGATTTTAGATTCTCTAAAACGATTTGTGGTTTTGCCCAGAGTCAGACATCTCAGTAACACAATGAACAAGACTGTTTTAAAGCACGTCAGTTCAAAATCTTTTTGCAATATTTTGCCAGGATTTACTTTTTTGTTTTTCCTCTTGGGAAGACAAGAGGGTCACAAGGCCTCTGAAAGTGGTAGGAGAGTAAGTTCCATTTGAAGTCAATAGGATTTGTAAACCTAAATCCCTCAAACGCCTTTGAAAATCTCTGTGGATATATGCCTTGAAAAAAACATCATATTTCCCTTTCCTTTGACACTGAAGTTCCATTTCCATAAAGACAGAATCTACACCCTTCAGCTCTAACATGTGTAAGCCCCCAGTGATACTCCTGCGAGCTACCTACAGACCATACAAGGAACATGTTTGGCAATGAAATATAGAAATAGATGTAAAGTGAAATTTTCAAAAGCACCTTCAGAGACTTTGAATGGACATCATCTTCTTAAATAAACACTTCAGTAATTTTGAAGATTCAAACCTCTCGCCAGCAGATCTGGTCCCTTCTATGTCCCTTCCTGTTTGTAAACTAAATGACTGCCAAGGCTCATACTGAAAGTGAATAAAGAAAGCATTGTGGGTTTTTTCTTGTCTTACCCACTGGCCTATCATTTATCTAGTTACCTTTTTAGTCATTTGTTTGTGCCTTTCCTTCTCCTTCTTAACTGACTCACTCTCTTCTCATCTGTGGTATGATTCACAACTATAATTTCATACTACTTGATTTCCAGAGGCATAAAAATGTTTTTTCTGTAACAGGACTTGCATTTTTTTTTAAGCATTTATTAAAAAATTAGCAACTAACTAAACTATTGGGCACCTCCTGCAATTATGCAAAAAATATAATCTAATATTTTTTCATCATTATCCACTGGTTAAATCTTCATGACACCAGACACAAGTCATGCTTGGAGATGGCCATGTACATTACAATTGGTTGTTTCCTTCTGTGTACCCCGCTGTGACTGTTTCACTGTGAACATTTAAAAAAAAAAAAAAAAAAAAAAAAAAAAAAGAGGCTACCTGCCTGCTCAATAATTTGCCTAATCAGTTTGCTTGCAGTAATACCATTTCTGAATGTAAAATCACAGCAATTATATATCCAGACAGACACTTCACATTCTGAAGGGCAAAGGAAATCTCACATTGTACTTGAATGCTCCTTAACTTTAACCACAGGATCCAAAAGAGAGGACGACTGTGCAATGGATCTACATGACTGAAATTCTTTTGTACTGTATTTACCACGTAGAGGTTCATTCCCTTCTAAATGATAGAATACCACACTGAAAAGAATTCTAGGACACTGGTGTTCTGCAATTTCAGAGACATGATGTTGAATAATGAACTAAACCTGGTCAAAGAAATTCAGGATCCTAAAAAATGCCTTAAGCAATGGAAAAAGTCTACCATCTACCTGTGATTTTACAGCTGTAATATCCCCGCCTTGTATATGTTCTCAAGGAGGTGTTATATGAGCTTCACTGAACATTACAAACAGGAAAAATGAACAACTGTCAAAAGGCAAACAGGGAAGCTAACCGACCTGCACTTTATACTGTGTGGTGTTACCCTCCACAAATCAAACAGCTGATAACTGGTTCTACCAAATGAAAAGAAGCTGTGCAAAATGTAATTTTTGACATTTGTGCTGGAAAAAAAAATACATTCTAGAAAGCTTTAAGAAATAACGAAACATAAGACCCAAGCGGTTTCATAGTCTACTATTTGAGGGTGCTTTAGTACGGATTGTTACAGAATCTTAGTGTCAGAGTGACAAATATAACAAATAGCCAAGTTAAAGTACAATATTCTGATTTTAAGGACAGAATTATGGCATGCTATCAGCTTGCACGACTTTTGTATCTGTCTTTTAGAGGAGGGACAGCTGAGATTCCCTTGCACACTGTTTTTTACTGGTGAGACATTAAGCATCAAATACAACCCATCACACCTAGCAACAGCAAGGCTAACAGTGTTTGCAGCAACGTTCATCCATGGTATTTAGACTGAATGTCTCTTTCCATCCCATCTGTAAACTCTGTTGCTAGCTATGAATGCCAAGCACAGAATGCTTGATGGGGAGTTGTTATCCGAGATCTCTTTTAAATTGTCAATTTGAAGTTCTTTTTCCTGGCATGGCTGTTTCCAGTACTATCCTAGACACAACAATTAGAATATTTTTTATTGTTTTTTTTCCCATCGTTTGCTGGCTGGCCTGGAAATTGTTGAAGTACTGCCATAACTGAACAACTCACCAAGACAAAGCGCAAAGTGTCATTTGCAGAATTTGTATCCGAATCAGCGGCATACATAGAACAGGCATTTCTTTGGAAAACAGGGCTTAAATTCATACATTACAACTGGCTTCAAAGAATTGGCCCCTTAAGGGTTAGCAAATGCAGCAATTACATTTATAGCATTCATTTAGCCAAGTTTTTAATAAAAACCAAAACATATGTGAAGATACCATTTTTAAATTGCATGTTAGACCACGATTCGTGGTTACAGAGAATTTTTCTAAGCATATATATAATTATTGAATATATTATGGAATGAATGAGGATTAAAAATCATGGCTGAAAAATATAGAGATGAGTCAAACACTTATACATAAACCACCTCAAACTGTGACTAAACTGGGAATGACATGGAAGTATGAATATAGCTCTTCGCTAATGCATGGAACATCAGTGGAAGAAAGGCATAAAGTATTATCACAAAATAGCAGAAGACAACCACAAAATGTGTACTGACTTTACCTTGATCAAAAGGCTTGTTTGGATTCCAGTTTCTGAAATAATCATCCTAAATGGGAAGGAAAAAAAAAAAAAAAATGGAAACTCAGGAAAAACATAATCAGGCTTTTCAGTATAATTTTACATTACTAAACTACAAATGAATCAACTCATCTTTTGATCCTAACGTTTTTAGTGCAAATCAGATAAGACTATCAACTGGTTGTGTCCTAAAGAGCAGTAAATGCATGTTAGAAATCAAAGACAAAAAAATTCCTTGGATTCAGCACCTTTTCTCAGTTTTTCTTCTGAATTGTTTTTCAAAGAATGCCCATTATTAAATATTTTCTGGTAACTCTCTATTATTTCAGTCTCCAACTTTTGCTAACAGAGACAAGAGCATACTGTTTAGATAACGTAACATGATCCACATCATCGTGTTGTGGCAAAAGGTCAGCAAAGTAAATCCAAAAATACTTATACTTATTTGGACAGATGTAAACCACACCATTGTAAGTGTACAGCAATAATATCATAAGCATTATACTTAAAGTACAGTAACATGCAGGAGAACTTGCATTAAATACTTTTGTCACTTTTCCCACAATTTAAAAAAATCTTCTTAAATCTGATGTAAAGTTATTATTCTGCTGTGAGTCTTGTGGTTCTCTTTTATATAATTTTGATCGGACTTTAAAAGAAGGCGGCAAGAAGTGTCAGAGGGCTTGGCCAAATGATTATTCTGTTGCAAACAAGTCTCTCTGCAGAAAGAATGGAAAACTCTTCTGTGTTGGATCAATTTGTACTCTATGTACTCAGCAAATATTTATCTGAAGGCAAAGTTTCCCCCGCTTCAGAGTGCCATCAACCCTAGTCCTGAAGAACTGAGATTCAAGCCCAACTGTTATATTTAGTTTCAGCATATTCTGTATATCTCGCTTGTGTCCTCTTTGGGAGGACGCGATAACAACAGAAAAATGTATTTGAAGTGAGGAAGCATGGAAGATGTGATAACACTGTGATATTTTTCTGCATATTAATATTTACTTTTTAATATATCCAGTATTCTATATTCATTTCTTGAGGGCTGCCACTGAAGAGACGTCTTTATCAAGCTGTCCAGAATGACACCTAGATTTTTTTCCTCCCAGGAGGGTAACTGAAAACCCATCAGTGTCAATAAGACACTTAATTTATTTCTTCCACTGGGCTTTGTTTACCATTTATCTCCAGTACACTGAATTTCACATGCTCTCAAGCTATTCAGTCACCCTAACCTAGAATATTTTTGAGACTTGGAAGCCAGCACGTTTTACTTTCTGGATTTGGAACAGCCCAGGGGACTGTTACAGGAGGAGTGGGGACTCTCCGTGTCCTCACTGAGCACTGGGAGATGTCCCTTGGGGCAGTGAGTTTCTCTCTGAACGCTGTGGCCAGCACGAGGGGCAGGAAGGACTAACACAGCACGGAGAGCTCTGGGACAGGCAAGGATGGGCAAATGCTGCCTGTAATGAAGGGGGCTGGATGGAGTTGTGCATGGCTATCAGGAGGAAATGTATTTTCTTTCTCGAAGGATATTATATTCATGCTTGGTGTCTGTACTGACTTCATGGACAGTGACGATGTTCCACAATAATAACAAAGATTGTTATTCATAATTTATTTCAGATAAAAATATCTACACTTTTTCTTCAAAAACAGGGGTTTGGAACCAGAAATAGAATCACAGACTTGCCTTTGAATTTCACAGCTTTGATAAGACAATAAAATCCCTCATGGTTATACAATGCTTTGTAATTGATTATGATGTACTGCTAAATTCACTAAGCATTAATCACTTTTCAGAATGTGGTGGGTTTTAAGCTTTAAGAGCAGAGTAATTTTTTTCCAGCTACAAGATATTCTTTTCTTGCCTGCTTACATTTTTTCCTAGGTGTTGCTTTGCTGCTGGGTTTTCAGCATCAGAAACTGTTAAATAATTCAAATCCCAAGAAAGATTTCTTATGCTGTTGGCATATGGAATCAGTTTTGAAATAAGCATCGGAAAGGGGGTGTATCTCAATTTCAGTGTCAAAGGAATATTTTACAAAAAATGCACCTTCCTCACAAAAAAAACACCAACAAACCACCACACAACCAACCCTATAAAACACCCATCTCCTCTGTAAACCTATTCTTTCTCCTTTCCACCTTTATGCAGACCTGTTTAGTATTCCTATTTGAAAATTGAAGCTATATTTATTTAGAATGTGCCTGAAACTACAGTATGGAAACATAGGAAAATACACAAGAAAAAAAAATGGAAAAAACCCCCTAAAAATTAGAAGAGAAAACCTTTGTGATTTTCAATATATAAAAGTCATTATTATTTGTAGGAGTAAATAACAACTGTACATAGAGCAATACAGTCAACAGCAGTTCAAAATAACTTATACCAGTTGGACAACAGAAAATACAGCACTGGAGTTTCACTTCAACACCAATACCAGCAAGAACTGTAACCGAATGGTTATGGCACTATAAAGGTGAAATTCACCCTGTAGATATGGCTGAGCAGAAAATCTATGTCTCATTTAAATACCACCTAAAGCTCTGACTTGAAAAATAGACAGGGCTTTGTGCTAGTATTCTGCAAGGTGCTGAAATTTATACATTAACCCGAAATTACTTTTGTTAGGAGGAGGAACTCTTTAACATCTCCCAGTGGATACTGTAACTTGCTCTGCAGAAAGACAGCCTGCTGATACAGCGATACACGGTGCCTAAACATGACACTGATTTCCAGGTGTATATCATCCTATATATATATATATATATATATATAAAAAATATACAATCAGCTTGATTGAAGAGATTTAACATTCCCTTCAATAAAACAGCTTGCTGATAAAAACAACTGCTCAGAAATCTGTTCCTCTCAGAGCTTTCTACTAGGACAGAGGCTAATACACTTAAAATACATCATCCCTGCTGTAACATATGAAACTTATGTCATATTAACATTAACATGTTAATAAGTAAATATTAACACTTTAATAATTAACATGTATCCATATATTTAATTTATAACAATATTAACAGTTGATCATAGAAGTTTGAAGTATAATATGAATTATGATATGTTGCAAATACTTTTATTCACTCTGTGGATATTTACAAGTTAAAAGTGAAAAACCTACCTCAACTTCCTGAATACGTAAGCATTACAAATGAGAAAAGAAAAAAAGAATGAAATAGACCAATATAAAAATATGTTAACATTCATCAATTTTCTCCTTGGTGACCTTTTAAATGTGAAATCACTTATTTCAGATAACCTTCACCTCCACATGAAATAATTTTCTCTCTTTTCTGACCGTTTCACCTTTGACCCTTCCACCAAATGCCATTCTATTAGCACATCTCTCTCGCAGACCGCCAAAACAAGGCGCTTTCATTTCCTGTTGGCTGACAAAACCACCAGAAATTGTTTTTTCATACACTCATCTGTTACATACCTGATATAAGATTTTTTTTTTTTCCTAGCTGACTTTAAAAACTTATTTGATGGACTTTGAAGGTAAGGCAAAACCAGGCATGGATCCACTTCAATACAAGAGGTAACAGCAACTGGGAAGTAGTTTTGCTGAACAAATATTTTAAAATATCTTTCTCCTTGCACAGAATTCACACTATGAAGCTTTTGCCTATGGTTCAGCGGTTACATATGACTAAGTCAATCTTTTAATTAACTGAAGGGACTTGGCACTCCTAAAATCATGCATGAAAAGAGAAGAATTGATATCACAAACCAAGACTGAATCCAACTCCCTTAGCTAAACCCAGTTAGTACAAATGTGACTTGGCCTCTTCACACAGCCAGGAATAACCATGAACCCCAAACCCCAGAAGTCACCTGTCCCTCTCACAGAGCACAGACACACTGAGGGGAACGGGACAGAGCTTCACTCCAAGTCCTGTGACTCCAGGTCCCCGATGGACTCAGAGTCTCACATCTCAGGTAAATACTCAGCTTCCACCTCCAGGAAAAGAAATCTGACTCCTGTCAAACTGGCCTCAACCCAGATCCTGAGGAAATGTTGGGTCCTGTTCTGTTCTCAGTGGGCGCAGGATGAGGCCTCTGGCAAGATTCCTTTTTTCTGCCACCTTATAATTTCTGCCTAGGCTAGACACCCACCTGGGATAGCAAAGCAGATAACCCGAGACACTCACTTGCCCAGAGAACAGCTCACTTTTGACATCCCCTGACCTAATTCAATTGCAAGATTTGGGACAGGAGCTGTTCATCACCTAGCATCATGGAATTCTACTTCAAGATTTTACCCTCAGGAAATTTAACTGAGAAATAAGTTATGATCATAACAAATGAAAAAATTTTAGAAAAGCAAATATAAATTGCTAGACATGAGCTTCAGTTCTTTATTGCATTTTTATTATTTTTATTTGAGCAATCAAGAGATGAGATGAAACACATTTTGAAGTGATTTAAATCCATTTTACCACATCATGCATAATAAGTTATTCTTTCTTAACAAAAGCAAAATATTCTTTTATCATTCAATACAAATTGTCAAATCAAGCTGACTTTGATATGCCATCAACAAAGTCAATCAAGAGTATAATCGTATGTTAAGCTAAGTATACGCAGGGCATATTAAAAAGTTCCTAGTTTAAAAGCTCCCAGAAGTTTTCTTACTTTCTTACAGGCAGAACTGTCAAAAACCTCATTCATCAGAACCCATAGATTTATCAGAATTCATAGACTGGCTTCCGATTTGCAAAAAAGCAAACCTTGAGTAAGACTTGGGTATGAGACAATTTCCTGTTAAGTCATATCTGAAAAGTTAACAAATACAAGTTGACCCTAAATCACTACATTAACGTGACCGCTCTTCTCTCCTATTACCCTCCATATCACAATAACAATACAGCTAAAAACCTGAAACTAATGGTAAAACCAAACAGATTTACCCTCTCTTCCCCCTTAACTAAGAAAGTAAAAACCAGCTGCTTGTTCTCCCAAAGTTTTAAGTATTTAAGTTATTGCCACCAAACCTACTCTACTGTCACTTCTTGGTTTAGTTATTACCTAAAGACTTAATATTTTGGAGGAGTTAACGAAGCATGGTTAATTTAACACACAGGCACTCTCTGCTTAGTTCATTTCTTGTCAAAAAGAAGCTCTTACAAGACACTCTTGTTTATAAATAGAGTCGAACATTAGCTAAATGGGTGCATAAATATTTATATTTTGTACCACTAACTGAGCTCATAAGTTATTTGTATGAATCAAGCAGAAATTAGATGCTGACTGAAAAAAACTCCACAGAAAATCTACTTTATTTTGTACCTTTCAGAAGCTCAGTGCAGTGTCCTCCTCCAAGGCCTGGGAAGATCCCACTGACCTGGATGAGCCAGGGGCACTCAGCCATCACAAAATCCTCATCACTGATCCTTCCTGAGGAAACTCTTGTACACAGGGCGTAACTCCAAGGACTGTCAGATAACCTTTTGGAGGTAATCTTCATTCCCAGCTCATCTTAGCCAACAAGAGCTTAAATTTCTAAGTATCTCCAGGAAGGAGGTTTATTAACACTGGTCTGCAGCCTGCTTAGTATTTTCCTCTTCTGTTCTCAATCTATGATTAAACCTTTTACCCTGATAAAGACCAGCTGGGAAAAGTGGTAATTCCCAGCTCATTGCTTTTTTTAGAATTATCTCCAGAAAGATGCAGCTGCATTTTCTGCCTCTCTACCTTGCAGTACTGAAGATCATTCCAACACCGAGCAGTGTTAAAGCACCAGCTGCTGCTTGCTAAAGTCAATCTAGCCCGTATCATAAATATCCCCCCAAGGCCTATTGCCTGTTTTAAGCAAATAGTTTGTGTCAGCAAATTACACATCATTTGTTTATTTATTTAAGAGGAAGAGAAAATATTTTACCCACCGACTACTTCAGTGAATAAAGATTTCCCAATGGTAGCTAGTGCCCAGAGCCTGCATTAGTGTCAAGAGCTGACTCCAAACTCTTAAGTACGTGAAGACATCTCTAACCACCTCTGAGCTCGTGCTCTCTCTCCTAGGAATCAGGGAATATGCATCCAAACAGGATGTTTTTGCTTAGGGAATTAGCAGTCCTTGCGCTGTGGATATGTTATTTTAAAGTTGCTAGGGGAAACCTTTGAAAAGTTTCCTGATAAAGTTCCCAGAAAGGCCAGGAATGTAAGGGTTTAATTAAACAGTTAGCAACATTAAGTGGTGAAATTGAAAGAAACCACTCCAGACTGAAGCAGTACCACATGGATTGAAAGGTGTGGGCGCATCAGGACCTGCCTAGTAGCTAAGCCACTAATACAAAGACAATTAAATGCTTTAGCCTAGAATGAAATGGTATAAACGATTCACACTGGACTCATATAATGCTAAATACATTAATACCTGTTTATTAATAACAGTCTAAAATAAATAAATACATATCCAAATAAATCCCAGTTATGTCTGGCATAGAAAAAGATCTTTGACCATGTACAGCAATCTCAGCAGCCCCATAACACTCAAATTCTCAGCACATGTACTTTTGGTAAAGCTACCACTAACGTGGAAAAAAAAAAAAAAAAGTCTTCTGCTTAATATAGCCCAGAATGTTACTTATTTTCATAGTTTCATAAATTAAAAGGTTTTTTTGGTTGGTTGAGGGTTTTTTGTGCTATATCAAGAAACAAGATTTGTCACTCCTGGTTTACTGGAAGACTTTTCCAGAAGTTTCCATAGGCAATACTAAGAAAGTGGTAAGCAAAACTCTCAGCACAGGCTTTCTTTACCTACAGTCACAATGATTCTTTGGGGTGGCAAAAATTTCAGAAATTAAAAAAAATTTTAAAAATTGTTAAGTAGGTTACCACTGAGCCCATGTCTGCCAGAATAAGAATTCTCATTCTTCAGAACTCAATCATAGAGCCTTTTACACAGAAATCTTCCAGCTGCTCTATTGTTTTTTTTGTGGGTTTGAGGGTGGGTTTTTTTGTGGGTAAAACGACAAATATAGCAAGAATTAAAAATATTTCTTTAAAAACCCCAAGCCACTCTTTGTTTATCCATAAGAATGAAGCCAGAGAGTATGTCTACAACGTTGAGGGCAAACAGATGCTCATTTACTCTGCTTGTGCTTCAAGCAGGATGAATGAGGGCCAGCTGTGAGCCAGCAGCTATAGAGCTGCTTTAGCACAGCACTGTGCCAGCGTACACAGCTGATGTATTTGGGTGGCTGGAACAATCACACAACTGTCTATGCTAGCTTGTGCTGAAATACCCAAAACTGGAAAAAAAAAAAAAAAAAAACAAAAAAAGAAGAGCACTTTAGTTTGATTATTCTTTGCTGTCCCTTTTAGTAGACTAACTTTAGAAATACATTATCACTTCTGCCTGAACTCTTCCTCTCATTAGCATGTGCTAAGAAGCCTGTTCTCCCTGCCTAGAGTTAAATAATTCTTTCTAACTTTACTTTCATCAAGTTTTTCACATTTTAGTATGTCCCACCAGCTCCAGAAGGTTATGCTGCAAGCATTAAAGCCCTCACAAGCCCAGAAAGGTAAAGCTCAGGAGTCTTCCAAGGCACGGGTTCACTGATTCTCATTGCATGGGATGTGCTGTACTGTCACCAATGTTACAACTCCATGACCAGATTGAAAAACCAGAGCATTACTTGATTGCTTATGTTGTAAATTAACAACACACCATCACTAGCAACAGTGCCTCAGCCACACAGAACTGTCTTAGAGGCTCTACAGAGGCACATTCAATGCATTTTTTTCTCCCGTCACGAGTCCCCCTTCTGTGACCTTTGCAAAGAGCCTCCACTGTGGCTACCAGAGAGGCAGCAAAGGGAGGGAGGAGTTGGGGTGGAGGGAAGACAGGCAGTGCCATACTTCTAGCAAGGGCTGAGGATCAGACGTGGTATAGTGAGGATTTACCATCTTGGCTGAAACAATTTGCTCAGTCAGATCCTGGGGCAATCTGCAGGGAAGCTCAAGAGTTACTGACCCCTAAACAAGTTCGTAGGGCCCTACTCTCTCCATCAGTTGGTCCCAGACACTTGAGAGTTTCTGATTTCTTTGGCTACTCTCCAGTTACACCCCAATGCGTATAGCATGTTTATGCAAATTTCTAATGAACCAGAACTCCCCATCCAT